TATATATATATATATATATATATATATATATATATATATATATTTTTTGGATTAAGTACTAAGCCTCCCCAAGTTTCAACAATAGCTATGAGAGTAAATTACAAATTTCGTCATTAGAAATGTTAGTTTTCATTTGGTGCGTTCCAGACTAAAAGGTGAGCTCACTTTATTTTCAATTTACTCCGAAACAAAAACACCTGCACGTCATCGTCACTCCCTCTCTCGAGTTCCTAAAATGGATTGTGTTCGTGTTAATAAACGATTCACGTGCAGTTACTGAGAAGTGCGTAATCGACCTTATTTTAACGAGTTTAAACTAGATGTCGCCAAACCAAGAGTGCTCTCTTGGTGTGTGGGTGATAAAAGTGAGATGAAAGTGAGAAAAGGAGTTTGAGTGAACTATCACTTTCATTTCATTGTGTGGCAGCCTCAGCACTTAAATTGATGAAGCGCATTGTTTGCTCAGACCTGACATTTACTTCCAACGCATTTGAGTGTGACGTCGCTCTGATGAATTTTTGCACTTGTGTAATTTGTGTGTGTGAAGATGGATGCCGAGCCCACCAGACTGACAGCTCTGCTCTCTCTTCTCTCTCTCTCTCTCTCTCTCTCTCTCTCGCTCTCTCTCTCTCTCTCTCTCTCTCTCTCGCTCTCTCTCTCTCTCTCTCTCTCTCTCTCGCTCTCTCTCTCTCTCTCTCTCTCTCTCTCGCTCTCTCTCTCTCTCTCTCTCTCTCTCTCGCTCTCTCTCTCTCTCTCTCTCTCTCTCTCGCTCTCTCTCTCTCTCTCTCTCTCTCTCTCGCTCTCTCTCTCTCTCTCTCTCTCTCTCTCTCACACACACACACACACACACACACACACGAGGAAAGGTTCGCGGTTGAAAGGGAAAGTCGAATTAAAATATTTGCAGCTCTGGCATCTTGAACATGTTGGTTATCTGCCCTCATTTGATTGCATATTTGTCATACCGAAATGGCCAGGCAACCTTTTTTAATTGAAAGTATGAATTGGAAACATATTCATCCATAAGTGCAATCATTCAGACTGGATTTGTTGACGTGAGGCTGTATATTATGACGTCTCTCCTAGTGAGACATGCGTGTATTAATTGTTCGGGGACCACTCGACTGCAGATTTTTCCTTGACTGCATGCAGGAAGTCAAAGTCTATACCTATACACTAAACGGTCACACTTTGTAGAACTCGGCCGAAACTTAGATTTGAAAATGAAGGCACGCAAAGTTATCTTAAAAGCGATTGTAATTAATACGTCGTGTCAGAATGAACGTACTGCATAATATGCATGCAATCCTCAGTGGTAAACAAGCGGGATGTAATTAATTCATCAAGTGAGGCTTCATGCATATTAATGCAACACACCAAAAGGTTGTCATTCGAATACTTCTTTCCCCTCCACTGATTTTGTATTTTTGATATTTCTGTTTTCCAAATTTGACTGCCAAACGAATTGTAACTTAAAATTTAAAGGATTATACATTTGTGTGTGTGTGTGCGTGTGTGTGCGTGTGTGTGTGCGTGTGTGTGTGTGTCAAACAATGTGGTTTTTCCTCTGATGCAGAGCGCCCATGGAGCCGTCGGTTTGCGGCTTTCGCCTCTCCACTCCAGGGAGCAGATGTTTGGGGACAGCCTACAACCTCAGCACATTCGGTGTGCAAAGCAAACAGCAGCACTCAGCATTTCTTCCTGCAAGAGAAATCTGTTCTTGAAAGAGTGCGTACGTGCGTGCGTGCGTGCGCGCGTACTTCGTGCATGCAGCGGAGGCAGGGAGGCCTTTGAGTAAATGCGAGCTCTCACGAAGAGCGTTGCGAAGGGGTGCATGCAGAGTTGAAAGTGTGTCAAGGTCGTCCGTCTGATGCACGCGCCGGAGCGTTCTCACTTCCCTCCCACATCTGGCGGCGGGAGCGCGGGCAGCACATGGTCTGGTTCGTTCTGTGTGCAGCCACGACCCGCACCTTCACAAATCTGATTCTCAATAGCAGATTCAATCACTCCGTTCAAGGCATGCGCCAAAATCGAGACTGGTCGAAATATCGCGCTTGTGTTACACTGCTTTTGCTCAACACACGCTCATGTGATGCCATGTGACCTCTAACAGCATGTTATTATCTCTAAACAAACCATCATAAATGAGCCCTGCGATGCTTATTTGTCTGAGCGAAAGCAACAGCCGCCCTCCCCTCCCGCACCGTCGTCTCCCTCTTCTGCCCCCGGAGCCAGGTTTCCATGGCGACAGATTCATCGCCATATGGGAGGAGGGGCGGGGGGGGCGGG